GCCGAGCGCCGTGCACCGCGCGGCCGGAGCACCCCCCCCACACGGAATGCCGCGCTGCGCCGCGCTGCCTCCTGCCACCCCAAGATTGGCCGCCCCTTACCAGGTTTCGTCCCAAGCATGTGCTTGGTTGCCTGGTGCCTGGAGTTGGCCCTGCTTCCACAAGTGAGAGAAAATTTGGCCAAATAGTTGTATTGCTGTTTTTTATTACAGCCTCTCTTTATTATTGCTGCTTTTATCAGAGATTTTTCTTTAGCTATTTCTTTTGACTTATTCGGTAAACCTGGATATATTAGACAACATTGGGGGGAGGGATAGCTCAGTGGTTTGAGCATTGGCCTACTAAACCCAGGGTTATATATACTAAACCCAGGGTTCAATCCTTGAGGGGGCCAGTTGGGGATCTGGGGCAAAATCAGTACTTGGTCCTGCTAGTGAAGGCAAGGGGCTGGACTTGATGACCTTTCAAGGTCCCTTCCAATTCTAGGAGATGGGATATCTTCATTAATTATTATTATTACATTCTTGACTCCAGTCACACCAGAAGTAAAAGGTAGAGGTTGCTCCTAGCGGTCTGATCCAAAGCCCATCAAAGTGCTTGGAAATCTTTCCATTTACTTCAAGGGCCTTTGGATTAACCTCTTTCACTCTAATACTGTTTTATTGAAACAACTTATAAACCCAGGGCTGGAGCACCCACGGGGAAAAATTAGTGGGTGCTTCACAACCACCGGCAGCCAAGCTCCCCACCACCAAGCGCGCCACATTCCCTCTCCTCCCCCTCCCTCCCAGAGCTTCCCGCCCCCCAGCCACCTAACAGCTGTTTGGCGGCGCTTAGGATTTTCCAGGAGGGAGGAAGAGGAGTGGGGATGTGGCACACTTAGGGGAGGAGGTGGAGAAGAGGCAGGGCAGGGGTGGGGACTTGGGGGAAGAGGGTGGAATGGGGACAGGGTGAGGGCAGTGCAGGAGCGGGAAGAGGCGGGGCCAGGGGCAGGTAAGCACCCACCGGGCAGAGGGGAAGTCAGCACCTATGCATGTGTGTCCGGAGTCCTGGGGAACCTCACTGAGGTTACTCAATTAGGGTGAACTGCAAAGAATGGGGCAGACAATCCCCAAAGAAGGTGGATATTCCAATACTTAGATTTACCAAGCCACCACAAAACAGCTTCTATAACACCTTCCTGGTTACACAGAAGCCAACAACACAGTTCCCTTAATGTAACCCAGCCTTGGGCCTCCACCCAGACATCCAAGTCAAACATGATAAGGATTACTGAAAATCTTATTCATCATATAAAAACATTCTACCAATCCCAAAGGATCGGGCATATTACCTCCCAGGTTAATGAATATTTCAGATCTTACTCAAATACAGGCTTACCCCCAATCCTTATTATCTAAACTAAAATTTATTAAAAAAGAAAAAAGAGAGAGAGATTATTGGTTAAAAGATCAATATACATACAGACATGAGTACAGTTCTGAGATCAGATTCATAGTAGAGATGGTGAGCTTTGTAGTTGCAAAGAGTTCTTTTAGAATTTGTCCAGAGGTTATCATCCAATGTCCATATTCAGGGTGATCCAGGAAGAACTGGAGATCTCAGCCCTTTGACTTAAGTTTTCCCTGCATGAAGCATCAAGCAGATCTGAGAATAAAAGGATCAGAACCCAAGACATATTTATACAGTTCCAGGCCTTCTTTGACAGCTGAACAATACGTGAACATAGGTGAACAATAGGCAATCATGGAGACTTTGAAGTAGACTTATTTCCTAAGCATCACGGTAATTAGCTACATGGATTAACATAAGGCAATTGCCTGTTTTCCACCATTCCTGGGTGATTTGCTATACATTTCAAAGAGAGATGAATACAGTGATGTCACTATGTTTAAAGTTCATTTAAATGTTAAAATGTCCTTTCAATCTCTGAATTAACAGAATACAGCATAGACAGGGACTGTTTGATTACACTGTTAACCTCTAATAATATATATATATGTAAACACACAAAAACACAAACATTATCTACCAATATTGTGGAATCTCCATCTCTGGAGATATTTAAGAGTAGGTTAGATAAATGTCTATCAGGAATGGTCTAGACAGTATTTGGTCCCGCCATGAGGGCAGGGGACTGGACTCGATGACCTCTTGAGGTTCCTTCCAGTCCCAGAATCTATTAATGAATCTATAAATATGTCCCTAAAGGTTGAATCTGGGTCAATTAGCCTGCAAACTACTTAACCCTTTCTGGACATGCATCATATTTTGTATAAGATTCATTGCAATTATATAACAATGGTAGCAACAATGATTTGCATGGTCATATTCTAATCAGATAATGTCACACCACATAAGTACATAGTGTGTGCAAAATGCCACCAAAGCAGAATTCTCTATTTAAACCAGCAGTTGCTTTTACACCCACTTTGTACTCATGTAGATAATTGCACAACTGTAGAGAATCAGACTCTGTTTCTAAATGACCAGATCTTGACACATACCCACAGAATGCGTGCATAAATGATCAGACAGTTCCTCCCCCTCTTGCAATGGCCATGTATGTAGATAGCCAGAGCTCCCTTTGGCACAGGCTGCACCTCTGTCACCTGTTCAGGGCTCCATTTAAATCAGAGCTGTCTGGAGTGCTTTTCTTTATTAAATATTTCTGTATAAATACAGGACGGAACACAGCTTTCTGGAGAATATATTTTCCGGATGTATATTCATTGGGATTTAACCGTCACAGGCTATAATGATTAAAGGCGTCTTATATAAGAAAGATATGAGCTCCTGCTACTGTGTTAACAACTTCCTTTCTCTCTAGGGTTGTGCTCAGGACCTGTAATATGTTCATTCAATACTGCAACGTATTGAGTAAGAGCTGAGCTGACAATGTAAATATAAATATTAATCATCCTGACACCTAACAAATAACGTTCTCTCTTTAATCTGTAAATGATGACTGTTGTATTTGTTACTAAATGACGCTACAGCTAATCCACAGACTCCATTTGTTGTTCAGCTTTTGGTTTTGCTCCTTTTTATACACATTTTTCAGCTTTCTCCTTCTAGCTGTTCTTTTGACATTTCCTTTACCGAGGGATGATGGAAGAGTTAAGGAAACTGTTTTCAGCATAGGTTATACATTCATTACTACTTGTATTAAAACGGTACCTGCAGGTATCCGTACAGGTAGGAGCCAGTCCCTGCCCCAAAGAAAGTATACAAGAAGGAAGAAGAAATTTAAAATGGAGGCCCAAAGGGGAGAAGTGACTAACACAAGCGGTGTCAGTGGTGGGACAAGAACCCAAGTTTCTAGAATTTCAGTCTAGTGCTTTATCTACGGCACTACATGACACCTCAGACCTAAGCTTGGTATGCTGCACTGGCTCACCTGGAGTAATACACTGAGTACTACTGAGAAGTTGCATTGACTGACAGACTTCTCAACATGAATAAGGATGCAGAATTAGGACCTTAATGAATTTACTCTTTTTTTTTATGCTTGCAAATTATGTAGACAAGCCCTGAGAGCAGCTCCAAAGCGGCTCTTTCCTGCAGCCAATGGCTGTAGGGGCTGAAAATGGGCCAGAGTGCAGTGTGTTCTGCCCCTGGTCGTCTTTGTTCTGACATGCCCCCTAAGTGACAAGGGGCAGAGAGGAACAAGTTTTGTAGAGCTTTTCCACATCTCTGATTGGCTGTGCCTGTATGGCAGATTTCCAGCTGTTTCATGCTGCCTGAGCATTGCAAGGAAGCCTGAGCCAGGGCCCAGGATTGAGAACACAAGGAGCAGAGTTGATCCCACTCTAATACATTGGCAATAATCCATTGAAAAATATCTCTTCTCTTTATTGCATTTATCTCTGTGCAGGGATGTACATGTGGCATTATCCTAAAAAGCAACATGGATCATTCAGCTGCCCAATTTGCAATTTGATATTATCTGCAAGAGCCTTGCTGAGCCACAAGAAGGAAGGCAGGCAAAGGGTATTGTGACATGGTATCTGAAAGGATGCATATGGGTTTGCTATACAGTCAGATATTATCAAAAATTATTTCCAGAAAAAGGAACCACAGTAAGTGGAAATGTAGTTGAAGCAAAATATAGGCTGAAATATATTCCTAGAAACCATTATTCAAATATTTTGAATATGAAGCAAATTAGTAAATACTGAAATCTCTTCATGGATAATTTGCAACATAAATAGTGTGTGTTAATGTACTGTTGAAACGTCACTACAATAACGTGCACTGGGAAGCTTTTAGTGCACACCAGCAGAATCTATGAGGGCCAGACATTATTTGAAATGGTGTTTACACATCAGTGTTATCATTGCACTAGCAAGTAATAGGCAGTAACGTCCAGAATCTGACATGTTTGTAAGCAAAATGGAGCTGACAGCTCACTTTGCCCTCACTTACACAGCTTTTACATTAGCACAGCTCCACTGGATTCAATAGTTACTCCTGATTTGCACCAGAAATGAGTTTAATTATATCCAAAATCTTCTGTTTTAAAAGTGTAGCCAAACTTCAGATAAATTTATAGGTAGGTGTAACAGGGCTCACTCACCACTAGGACACCTCTGAGGCCCCCTTCTGTTGCTCTTTGTGCTGCCTGCTGCCTCCTCTTTTTCTCTGAAACTCAGGGTGCTCTGTCTTCGTGGCTTGACCATAGGCCTGCGCAGCCCATTTCATTAGGGTGTGCACACAGGGAGCCCCGCCCTAGCCCCGCCCCATCCACTCCCTCCTACTTCCTGCCCCCTGACTGCCACCCTCAGAACCCCCAACTGCCCCGCTCCTTGTCCCCTGACTACCCCCTACTGGGACCCCTGCCCTTAACTGCCCCCCAGGACCCCACCCCCATCTAAGCCTCCCTGCTCCTTGTCCCCTGACTGCCCCCCTAGGACCCTACCCCCTACCTGTCCCCTGACTGCCCCGACCCTTATCCACTTCCATGCTTATCCAACTGCTCCCTGCCCCCTGACAGGACCCCCAAAACTCCCGATCCATCCAACCCCCTCTGCTCCCTGCCTTCCCCAACCCCTCTCCATACCCCTGCCTCCTGACAGTCCCCCCCGCCCAGAACTCCCAACTCATCTAATTCCCCCCAGCTCCTTATCCCCTGACCACCCCCTCCAGAGGCTCCCCCACCCTAACTGCCCCCCAGGACCCTCCTTGCTCCCTGTCCCCTGACCCCTATCTACCCCCCACCCCCTGACAGACCCCGGACTCCCATGCTCCATACAACCCCCCCGTTCCCTGATTGTCCCCCTCCAGAGACCCCCCCACCCCTAACACCCCCGCCCAGAATCCCACCCCCATCCAACCCACCCTGCTCCCTGTCCCCTGACTCCCCCCACCCCTTATCCAACTCCCCCCCTGGCCCCGGACTCCTTACCATAGGAGATGAGGCTCCTAGCCTCCCCGCGGAGCGAAACACTGTCCCGCGGGAGCACGCGCAGCCCCGGCCCCCAGAGCACTGCACACGCGGCGGCAGGGCTCAGGGGAGGGAGGAGGGTGTCTGCCTCCCCGCAGAGCCAAACGCTGCCCCGCAGGACCGCGCGCAGCCCTGGCCCCCAGAGCACTGCACACGGGGCAGCATGGCTCCAGGAGAAGGGGGAGGTAACTGCCTCCCCGCAGAGCCAACCCCTTCCCCACGGGAGCATGCAGCCGTGGCCCCCAGAGCGCTGCACGCGGCGGCAGAACTCATGGGGAAGGAGAAAGGCGGGGGAGGGGCTAGCAGCTTGCTGCACTCTGGCTGGGGAGCGCAGACCCCGCAGTTTGCCACGCCTGGAGAAGGGGGCCATTTGCCCACCCCTGCATTAGGGTGTGCCCGGGCACACCTGGCACACCGCATGCGCACGCCTATGGGCTTGACCCTCCAGCCTGGTGGACAAAAAGCTGGCTAGTTCGTCGGGTTCAACAGGTGGTGATCAACTCAATGTCTAGTTGGCAGCTGGTATTGTAGGGATATTAAAGAAGGTACTAACAGTGATTCCCCCAAGTGACAGTGACCCCCCTCATAATTTGTCCCCCACACTTTAAAATCCAACAGTTTCACCAAGTACAAAAATCTCTTGGGTCTTTTGTTAAAACTTGTAAGCTACTGTCTGTAGAAGCCATTGATTATATCTATTCTGTGAAAGATACTTTATTACTATGTAAAACTTACAAACAAGTTAATTGACTTTGTTCTTGAAGTAATTGATACAATGTAAATAAACACTATAAGCCGTTAAGTGACTTTCACTTCATTCAACAGCTCCTAGGACAGACCCCCACCCTCTGTGATTAAAGGGCCGGGAGTCTCAAATGAATTAGCACACACCCTGAAAGTGGTGGAGACAGTAAATTAAAATATGGTTAAGATATGGAATGTATGTTGATGAATGCCTAGAAAGGGAGTATCCATCGGCCGAAGAATGTGTCAAGTGGATGACCAGACAACCCCCCCTCCCCCCTCCCGGAGGATAAACTGAGATCCACCCTATCATCTGGAAGGATGAGAAACACAAACTTTGGACAGTTTGGAGCCACCAGGAATGTGCCCAAGAATGTGTCCAGGAATGGGCCATCTGCTGATTGAGTCAGCAACAGCAAAATGAAACAGCTCCCATAGACTAACATAGGAATTAAATCCTATAAGAATGGACTCTCAAGACTGAGGACTTTGAGTCTCTGGTTCTGCTGCCAACCTCCAGGAGCATCAGGTGCACCTGACACAGACTCGGCTCCATCCTCATGACCAAGATACCTGGCCAGTAACTTGGCATGAGCAACTTCTAGGCTGGTAACTATAACACCTATATAAAACTTGAATGAACAATTGTGTGAATGAATCTCTCTCTATATATATATATGTGTGTGTGTGTGTGTGTGTGTATAAGGAATAAGTAGTCAAACAACATTGTTTACTTTTATCTTTTGCTTTATCATTATATTTACAATAAATGTGGCATCTTTGCCTTATCCCTCTTAATAAGATCCTGCTGGTTTTTATTCTATTGGTATAACAGTATCAAGTGAAATGCCCCAGGGGTCAGTCCTGGGGTTGGTTTTGTTCAACATCTTCATTAATGATCCGGATGATGGGATGGACTCCACCCTCAGCAAATTCGCGGATGACACTAAGCTGGGGGGAGAGGTAGATATGCTGGAGGGTAGGGGTAGGGTCCAGAGTGACCTAGACAAATTGAAGGATTGGGCCAAAAGAAATCTGACAAGATTCAACAAGGACAAGTGCAGAGTCCTGCACTTAGGATGGAAGAATCCCATGCACTGCTATAGGCTAGGGACCAACTGGCTAAGCAACAGTTCTGCAGAAAAGGACCTGGGGATTACAGTGAATGAGAAGCTGGATATGAATCAGCAGTGTGCCCTTGTTGCCAAGAAGGTTAATAGCATATTGGCCTGCATTAGTAGGAGCATTGCATTGCAAGCAGATAGAGGGAAGTGATTATTCCCCTCTATTGGGCACTGGTGAGGCCACACCTGGAGTATTGTAGAGACTAACACATTTATTAGAGCATAAGCTTTCGTGGACTACAGCCCACTTCTTCGGATGCATACATTCTATATGCATCCGAAGAAGTGGGCTGTAGTCCACGAAA